TTGCTTCTTCCTTCTGAATTTAGAAAACTAACATTTTAAGCACATGTCTGGTAATAGACATCTCTAAACTTCAAAACTGCCTATTTTAGTGATGCAGATAGAATTAAGATTGTTATTCTTGAATATTAAGTTTCAAAGCTCTAACAATGAACTCCAAAACTTTTAACTTTATAGATTGGAAATCCTCATTGTTTTAGATATTAATAAATCAGGCTTTGTGACCTTAAATTCTGGTCTAAATACATAAAAATAACTGAAAATGAAGTAGTTTATTAGTACCCATGTAGACTACCAACGTACAGCAGAACAAATTGTACAATATCTACTATATTTTCTTGGTTTAAAAAGTAAAATGAAAGAGACATTCTAAGTGACATACAAATCCATCATAAATGGGATGGCATATTTGGACACAAGGGCAAGAAAAATTAGTATGGTTTATATTATTATCGTAATTTTTTTAAATGCTATCTACTATAAAGACCATGGACACTATTTCATGCCAAGCCTCAATATTATATTCCACACCTGTACCATCTCGAAACAATGAGCTGCATCAGACTGTTGTGTGTCTCTGTGTGCACGCATGCATGTGTGTGTGCATGCAAGTGTGAATGAAAGGACTTTGAGCTAGGCATGGCTGAGCTGAAAACCTAAATTTCACTGGCTGCTTTGAAAGCGAGTTTTTAATATCTCTGTATCTCAGTTTCCCCATCTATGCACTGGGCACTAGATTCTTCTGAGGATTAAAAAACACAATAAACTCAAGGTGGAGAGCAGACCACCTGGCACACTGAGAAGTACTTTCCTTATGTCTGCCACCCTCATTCACACTCTATTATTCCACCTAACACAGTGCAAACAGCCACAGAGAAGACCAGGCAAAAGAGGTCAACAATCCAAAATTCAGCTCCAAACCCCTTAAAAGAAGAAGAAAAAAAAAGGGGGGGGGGGCATTCTAAGGGCACAAGCACATACAGAAGCATTTATTTGCACAAATAACAGCACACAAATCCTGATACCTATTATACAGGACAAATGACGGGAAAACTGTTGAAATAAACGTTATCTCCAATAAAGGATTTGCAGAGGACCACAGAGAATTAGCAAATCAAAACTTGTTTTTTTAGAATAAAAGCACAGTTGAGAAACTCTTAAACTTGGGCTTCAGTTCTCTTTGGCTGTATGAAGGAGGCACTGGGCAGCCTATTCTGCGGGGTTTCTATCCCCAAAATTCTGATTCTAACATAATGAATTTAATTCCACTATATTTATTTTTAACCTATTAAATTACTCTGCACTCTACAAAAAAAAAAAAAAAAGCCAATAGGAAGACTTTTAAAACACACACATGATAGTAAGTAGCTCTCCTCAACAGACAAACTTAAGGGGAGAGCAATTTCTTTTTCATCACCATGAACTCAGAGAAATTAATTCAGGATGCTAACCACGTGAATTCTCCATCTTATAAATTTATCCAATGAATTGCTTTTTTCCCCCCTCAACAAAATTTACTAAACTGATGCTTGTTTTGGGGTTCACATGGATACAGTTTAACAAACTCACAGGATCCTCAAATGCACTCCCTCTTCCAAAACCACCCACAACAGGGATGTGCTATGCTCTACTACTGCTCTGAATTGTTCAAACACACGTTCCTTTGGCAACCTTTCACAGCCGCCGAACACCTAAGTAAAACTAAACACTTACAGGGTGAAAAAAACTCAACTTTTAAACTAAGGGAGGAAAATGTAGAATCCATCATAGACTAGCTGTAAATACATGTACCAGATGTGGTCCGGGCTGATCTAACAAGTTCTTTAGTAGACACAATTCCAGTGGCACAACTTTAAAACCACCTTTTAAAAAGATGCCAAAGCTAGTGTGCTTAGCTTTCCTCACGAAAGACTCAAGCGTAATCATCTAAACTATACTTTTGTTCTATTGGAAAATTAAACCGCCAGCTCATCAATAAATCACAGACTTTTTAGGTACATTTTCCCCCTTTGGTAACTCTGCCATCATATTTTTTAATGAGAATAATTTTCCAGTCATCCAGGCATGTGGATGCTTTTAGTGTGTTTTAAGATCAATGAAGATAGCGGATATTAAATCCCTTTGTATAAATTACCATATAGGTTATAACTATTTCTTAAAAATAATCCCAGAGCCCACCAATCCACCGTGCTAAGGTCATCTCAGCTCTGAACCATCATGGCTGAATTGTTTTAGTGCTTTCTGCTGAACACCTGCAAACATCAAACAAAAACTGCTGGTCCTTTCCAGGGTTGACAAAAGCCTTTCATGTGAAAAATGCTCCCTGGGAATGTCGGGCTGTAGCTCAGGTTACATTCCATTCTCCCCAGCAGCCTCACCATTTCTTAAGGTGGTAGGAAAAACCATGTTTGTGAAATGAAAGATTAAAGAGAATATGGCCACACTTTATTTTCATTCTCACACTGCAAACCACGATGGAGCATCCTGTATTAATGGAATCAAAAGCTATTGGAAACTTTAAGCATGAAATATTACCATGCTTCACTGTGAAAAAATACAGCTGATTTCTCAAACAGAAACAGTTTACTTATAGTTTAGATTTTTTTTTTCTCTTCCCCCTGGATCCAAGTTTCAAAGAGACCCATGAAAGTGACATCTGAGTCCACACAGGGCAACCGGTATTAACTTGAACTAACTTTAGATTAAGATTTCTCTACCCAAAGTTTCCTAGTCCATCCTTCCAATTAAAGAGAAAAGTGAATTTTTCATTTTTTATTTTTTAATTTGTTGTGCTTTAATAGTGATTGTTTTATTTATTGAGTAAAAATATGAGCCATCTTCTTCACTAACAGCACTGAGTTCAAATATATCTTCACAGACTGGGAAAAATCAGCACTCCAATCTGTACCCTATATAATACCATCACATTTGATTGAATGAATACTCCAAATCTTCCATCAAGGCACCCAGAATCAAAGACCCATTGCACTTTGTACTCTTAAAGGTAAATATTTAGTTCTGAAAACTACACCTTTGGTACAATGTAACTTTAAGTCCAACACCTTGAAAATAATCACTACACTGTCAGGAGTTACTGTAACATGCCTCACTAAGAACTGTGTGTTTATCTGTCTATATATATGTGTGTGTGTCTATACATATGTATATAGTTCTCTTCAGAACTATGTACATCAGGATACATGATCACTTAAGCCAGGACTTCATTTAAAAGTAAACATTACAAATGGACCAGACACACACAGTTATCCTCTGAAATACAACAAAATTTTATACTTCTAATCACTTTACTTTATTAAACTGCATCTAAACTAATACACTGAAGTTCCTCCAAATGTGTCCATTTTCACAGCAGTGCAAGGAGTCTTTCACAGTGATTTTGAAAACAGTGTCTCGCTTTGCCTGCCTGACATAATCCACTTTTTGGATTTAATTGAATATGCATTCCTTAAGTAAAATCAGAAGAATCACTGTCAGGGATAAAGGTAAGCTACTGTTCCCGTTGTGTTTAACATGACAAATGAATTTGCCTACAAGAGGTACTTGTGCTCATTGTTACTTCAAAATGCCTATTAATATTTTTTATTTTCAAAGTTATATAGAGAAACTACACACAAATGTCCAAGATGTAATACTAACACAACAAAACACTTAAGGAAGTCCCCAAAGGGGGAATATGGAAGAGTCCAGGACAGCACAAACACAAATATACAGTCAATATGTACTTTTACTTTTTAATAAAAATGGACCAAAACCAAGCTAAATTGTGACTATAAGAAGCATCTCATATTTTGTAAATCAAGTGATAAAGCGACAAAAATTCCCTGACTCATGGGGGCCAGAAGAAGTAACTTATTTGGAAATGAGGAACTTTTAAAACTCATTAATTTCATGAAAATTCACCAATGACACAAATCACATTGGTCAACAATTTCTCTCATTGCTACTGTACCAAATGAAAATTAAGAGATGTGAAATTATACTCATAGTTGACAGACTAGTCCACTAGCATCTCACAACTGAAAGATGTCAACATTTACCAGTGAGACCTAAGGAAAGTGCTCTGCCTGCACTCCTATGTACCACTGCCAGAACTCCTAAGCTACTGCAGCTGTTTAACAAGCATAAATGGATGTAAGCTTGCACCTAAAGCTTAGCAGGCAACAATGCAGGATTCCTTTTATTTAAAATTCATTGGACAAAAAAAAAAACAAACCTTGTAAAAGAATATCATACTTTCACTCTTTGATTTTAATAAGAGACATTCAAATAGCCCTGTACTACAACTCCTCCTTAAATGCCAGATAATCACTGTGCACACAGATTTCCTTTGTGAATAGCGCTAACGTTGTTTTTTAAACATCACCCAAAAATCTTTCATTTATAAAGTGTTAAACATCCTTCCAAACTTACAACTTAAAATATCACAAAAATTCACTGCGCAAGTAAATGATTAGGGAAAGGAAACCGCTAAAGCAATGAAAAGCATATTTTAAATATAAATGAATTCATATTTTGCCTCTCAGATTAGCATGAGGCTCTTTTCAGGGATGGTTTCCTACACAGCATTCAACCACAAAATTAAGTACTAAACTTCTTTATATTATTTACAAGAGATTTTCCTTTTTACAAAAGTTAGATTTTTCCCCCATTTTCAAATAGGGATCACTAATTTAATTCCCTATATTAACACTGGCCTTATATTCCCATGTGTGATTACAAATGTTTTAGAAAATTGCTTTCAAATTAAGTGATGGAATTTTGAGACAGTGTCTTTGATTTAATTTTAAAAAGGCCTCATTTTAATCACAAAAGATAAAATTTTGTGTAAGTTATACCATTGATGGATGATGAAATAACCAGATCATTTCTAGGCTAAAATTCAACGCCTTTTTCAGAACCCTTCAACAGAGCCAAGAAACACACAATGTGTAAAGGAACATCTAAGAGCATTGAACTTCACAGGAAGAAAAGAATTTACATACTTGAGCCAGTAAAATGTCCACTCGCCAAAGAAGTTGGTCCATTTTTGCCACTGCTCACAGGAGGTGAAAACATCTACAAGAAACAAAGAAATATTACAGTTGAAAAGAAGACATTTGTGCCCTTCAGAGCTCATCAAAGACCTTTCATACTCTTACCAAACAGCCTGGAGTTTACGCTAAGGGTTTATTCAGTAAGACATCACCAGCCAACTGAAAACTACAGCAGACACCACACTACAATGCCCTCCCCATCACCACGCTGCTCTTCCTTTCTCCTCAGGTCATTAGACTGCCACGCAGTCCTAGTACATGTTGAACAAACACAGTTCCCCATAATGTTAGCAAGATTCAGGCTGGAGGGCAGCAGCCTCTCTAAGAAACACTACTTTGATGAAGGAAGCAAAAAAGTTGTTTGTTTCATACAGAAAACCTGGGCCATAACCGTGGCAATGTCCATTTCCATCCTGTATAGGATCTGCTTGTCATATGTGAACCCAAATAAAAATAAAGTGCCACCTGCACTAAATTCTCATTTCGTCTCTAGAATGAGAGCAATTGGAAGCAAGACTCTCTCTCTCTCTCTCCACTCTCTCTCTCTCACTCTCTCTTTCACTCCCTCTCTCTCCAGCATTTATTTCTACCCTAATTGGTCTCCCTCTTCTTCCACGTATGTGGTGGATAATGCACACCTTCCCAGTGTCACACACTGCAAAAAGCAAAGGAATGAATGGAGAAAGTGCAGCAAGCAGAACGGGGGCTGCAAAGCTGCCTAGGGCTACGTTTCCTGGCAAAACTTCCGAAAGCCATTTCTCCAAAAGGGCTAGGAGAGGAGCAGTGGCAGTGGCAGTGGCAGCGGCGGCAGCACCAGCGGCAGCGGCAGCACCAGCGGCAGCAGCAGCAGCAGCATGAAAGAGCCCCACTCAGAAGGCGGTGTGGACTGTATTGGTGTGTTTTGTGCATTCTCTGTATTTTGCTTCACAAATGCATCTTCCATCAAACTCATCTGGCATGAAACGTGAACTAACTCCCCTGCCGTGCTCGAGACTGGGTTTGGGAAAGGGGAGCAAAGGGATGGAGAAGGACCAGAGTCCCGTCGTGACACTCCACAAGTGTGCAGGTCCGCTTTGTGCTGACCTCCAGGCTAGGAAATTGGCAAGAACAGTCCAAAGGCTTCTACAGAAGGTCAGCTCAGCAGATCCAATGGAGTTTTCAGAATCCCAGGAAGAGGAGTTAGGAGGACTACACACAGTCCCTACTCACCCCAAGGCACCATCAGTTAAAACTTTAAACAGACAACTGAGGCTCCTGTTTTCCACTTCCAGAAAATAATAAAACAACTAGTAGTACGCCAAGTACTGGTATGCTCAGAGTTCAGATACGGCCAAGTTTTAGGGGTGTCTGGTTTTTCCTTTCCACTGGGGTGAGACTCCATTATTTTGGGGCATCAGTGGGTAGGGAATTCAAGGCAGGTAATTAAAGACTCGGGGGGGGGGGGGGGGGGGGGGGCCTGAATCTTGAATCACACCCAAAAAATTTAGTTAAAAACTTGTCAAAAGACCTTCGTATTTACCAAGGATTCAGTCCATTAAAAATTACACTGTCCTTTAGACGACTACTGGTTTCTAGCTGAAGTGTTTGGGTGTTTTGAGTTTCCACCAATCTTTCTTACCGCACTGAAATCCAGTAAATCACTCAGCTCTTTGTCCGTCCCTAAGGCAGCCATTCGCTGTTGGTGATGCATTTTAGCAAAATCACACAAACCTAGAAACATGGAAATAACCGCAATCAGAAAATCCAGTCCCAATCCTTGGAGAAAACACAATCGGATTTTTGGAGACTGGGGTGTGGGGGGTGGGAGATGTAGGGGCGGGTGGGATTAAGGTGGTGGGAGGGGGGAGGGATGGGAGAGTTGTTGCTGGGTTTTGTTTTTGTTTTAAGATGGAACAGGCAGCAATAGCAAAAAAAAAAAAAAAAAAAAAAAAGCGATACTGTATTTCCAGAGAGACGATCAAACTGGTAACATCCACTAGAAAACCAAATCCAGGAAGGGAAAAAAAAAAAAAAAAAAAAAAAAAGAAAGAAAGAAAAGAAAGAAAGCCGCTCGTGAGCGCATCCTTTTATGCAACAGGAGGTAGAGCGAGAAATGAATGGATCCCAGAGCAAAGAGAAACTACTCGGGACGGCCCGGGCTCAACTTTCCCCCACCCGCACCCCACCCCCCGGCACTGCTGGCGCTCGCACCCCGCGCGCCGCTCCCCTGCGCGTCTCCAAGTCGCTCCGAAGAAATTGCGGACGAGCGTCCCCGCGGGGCGAGCACGTCCCCAGGGGGAGGGGTGACAGGGCCGGCGGCGGGGGCGGGCGGAGCGCAGGCTCGGGTCCCCCCCTGTCGTCCAGCACCCTCATTTGTGAAAGAAAGGGCTGTAAAAAATTAAAGTCAGGCCCTTGGCAAAGTCCTCGGCCCCCCGCGAGTGGGCACCGCCGGGGAGGGGGGCGGGGGCGGAGGCTTGGTGGCAAAGAAGAGAAAGGGAGTCTATGCCAGATCTTTCGGTAGCTCGGCGCCGCGGCGCCGGAGGTTACAGATCTGCTCGCGGCTTGGGTCTCCGGGTGGAGAACCCAAGTGTGCCGAGCGTCCGCCTTGCCAGACCGGCCGGCGCCCGTACCTACCGGCCGCGCGCGAGAAGGGGCTCCCGGTGCACCGCCGGCGCCGCGGCGGCGTTCATGTCTGAGCCCGCCCGGCCGCTGCGCCCGCTCGCCGGCTCCCGCGCCTCCGCCGCCGCCGCCACTACCGATCCGCGCGCGCACAGCCAAGATCCCTGACTCTTAACACCAACTCTCTTCTCCGGGGAGGGGAGGGGACGAGCGCAGGGGGGGAGGGGGAAACACGCCGAGGCGCACGGAATTGCAAGTTCAGCAAAGAAATGGGTGGGGGGGCTCCGGCGGGGCGACGCGGGCTCGCTCGGGGTCGGGACGCGGCCCCCCACCCCCGGGGCCGGGGGGCGGCTCAGCGCCTCCCCCGCCTCGCCAAAAAACACGAACGAAAATTCGCGGAGCACCTCATTTTTCGGTTACGGTCTGCAGCCTGCCCAGGTCGGCGCTGGCCCGTTCCATCCCTCGGAGCCACTTTGAAATGTGTTCGAGTTCACATCCCGCCCTCGCCCCCACTCCCGTCCCCTCGCGCTCGCACGGCCACACACGGCAAAGCAAGTTTATACCAGGCTGCGATACACGTGATGCGAAAAGACTTTGCCAAGAGCAACCGTATTTTCCCTTTCCACAGAGAAACCCAGCCGCATTTGGCCGGGGAGACCTCCGTCCGGGTAGTTCTGCGTCGGGGGCGAGCCCTGCACTGCCCACTCTATTCCCCCTCTCTTTGGACTCACAGAATAGTACGGCTAAAAACTTCGCAAGAAGAGGAAAAAAAAAAAAGGCAATTTGGGGGGATGGATGTTGTTTTGTTTTCACACTTGAGTTCCTAGGCACGCGAAGTCCCCATTCGCCCGCGCTGTTTTTTAATTCCACATTTCACATCATAGGCCCTGCATGCTCCTAAAACATACTTTTCCACATCACTTTTCAGGATAAAAATCCAGCTTCACCGTCCTATCGTCTGGTAGTAACAAGCGTGCTTTATCCAGCCTATGCAACATAGTTATTCCAACGTGTGCTAGCACACTCCACACACCCTGGAATCGCTAGAGGAGCGAGCACACACACAAGATGCATGCACACACTTTTTCCCACTGGCGATTATTCCATAGGTTGTTCCTTTTGTTTTCATAAAACACTGGGATCGACATTTTAAAAATTCAATTCAATTACAAACAGTTTACTCTGACAGCAAATAGTAACGTTACCTTAAGTGGCCACAAATATGTTCACAATATTCCAAGGAAAAAGACTTTAAAAAGAGAGACAAAAATCTTCTGCAAGTACTTAGTATCTCACATGTGTATCCCCCAAAAAAGTATTTTAACTGGTACTCAGTCCTGCTCCAGGGATATCCACAGATTACAGGATCATGCACCTGGCTCTGCTTTTTGCATTTTCCACCATAAAACTGCAACAAAATGCCCTCCCCAAAAAAAGAATTCATTAAAAAAAAATCCAACAACTTTTTCTTATGGTTTATAAAAAAAAATCAACACTGGGTAGTTAGAATTGTTCCTCAAACAAATCTCGTTGGTGGGTGTTTTTTCTTCTCCTCTTAGAAAGTCTTAAACTTGCTCCAAGTTTAGAGGTGTCTCATCATCATCCTCCTCCTCCTCCTCATCACCATTGACTCCCCCGTGGAGTCACATTGATAATAATAGGTTTCCCTGAAAGATACATTGTAATCCATTCACATCCGGGCACTGCGGGCTTATAAAGAGAAGGCGCTGCGGCCGCGGCTGCTCCTCCAGACAATGACTGGGGAGGGGCGGGGCGGGAGCGGGCGACCATAGAGTGGTAAACAGATGGCCTAGAGAGGCCGCCAAGATGGCGGCGCGCGCCGGCCACGCCTCCTCCGGGAGCGCCGGCGGGCGACGGGGTCCGTCGCGCGTGGAGCGGCGCAGAGAGTGCTCGGTGCCGGCGTCGACGGCCGGCCTGGCCCTCCTGCGCGCGCTTCGTCCTGCTCCGGTTCCTTGGCCGTCCCTGCTCTTTGACACGAAAGTGTAGTTCCTGAATAAATACACGAATTAAACTCCACAGACTTAACGCGGGGGAATCAAATCCCCCGACCCCCCCCCCCCCCAACCTGAGGAAGGCTCGGTAGAGGCCGCGGCGGCCTCCCCAACCGCAAACCCGAGCCCGGGATCTTCTGCGGTGTGGAGCGGGTTCCGTGGCGAGGCTCGAGCGGCAAGGGGTCCCTCCCGGCCGCCGCCGCCCCCGCCCCCACTTTCTATAGGCGTGAGAACTTGGTCAGTCCGGGAAGTGGTCACTTGGAGAAGACATTGATTGATTGCTTTGTACACTCAGATCGACTTTATACCACAAGGCATGACTGACTCAACTGACAGTTCTGGCCAAGCAGTTACCTTCTGGAGGTTGTTTTCTGGTCAGACGCAAATAGCAAAGCCCACTTTACGAATTTTGCACAGGACGTGGATAACGCTGGAATCACTTCAGTATGTACAGGCATACCCTGCGGCGCAGTGGTTAAGCCACTGCCGGCGACGTGGACATCCCATTTCAGAGCACTTCCCAACACTGGCTGCTCCACTTCCGACCCAGCTCCCTGCTGAGGCTCCTGGGAAAGCAGCCAAGATGGTCCAGAGACCCAGATGGAGTTGCTGGTTGCTGGTTTGGGCTTGTCCTGCCCCTTCCGTTGGGGCCCTGTAGGGAGTGAACCACAGCTGGGCTCACGCTCTCTGTCGAGGAAATAAGCAAACCTTGAACACCAAAACAAAAGGCCGTGGTTGTGGGGCAGTGGGTTAAGCTACCACTTCTAATACAGCTCCTTACGAATGCTCCTGGGAAGGCAGCCACAGAAGACTCAACTACTTGGGCCCCAATAGCAATGTGGGAAACTGGGATGGAGGGCCAGGCTTCTATCTTGGGTTGCCCCAAACCCATCCTTTGAAGCCATTCGTGGAGTGAACCAGCCGGTGGAAGATATTTGTGTCTCCTTGACTTTCTAACTCTGCTTTTCAAATAAATTAATCTTTAAAAATAAAAAAATAAAACTTTAAAACTTGCCACTTACTAAAAAATAGATTTCTTTCCATCTCTAACAGCTTGATGAACTAATATCTCTAATCTAGCCAACAGAACTTTAAATGGAGCATTCCTTATTTTAATAGAATAGTCTTTATGTCTCCCAACAGGAAAAAGCCAGTAATAACAAGTAACAGAGACTGTGTTTCACGTGTGCCAAACATTGTGCTAAGAATTTCATAAATATTGGCCATTTTAATCCTGAGAATGACTCTGTGAAGGGGGTAACTACTCTCTTAACATTAAGAAAAACAGAACCAAGTAAAATGGAGTAGCTTGACCCAAGGCAGCAGTTTAGTAACTGAGACAAACTTGCTGAAGTCACAACCATCACTATTATGAAGGAGCCCATCTCTGAAACCAGGCAGTCTGTCATCAGAGTCCACTTTAACTTCCACGTTCCTTCATGCCATCTGTCAATGGGAACATCCTAATCTCCAATTATGTCAAAAATGTGTGGCAATAACAGTTGAGATCAATTTTCAGGATCTTTTCTTTATGTGTAAGTTTTTACAGAAAAAGAATTAGGGCATTTGCAGATTGTTTTCCTCTCCATTCACACGTTGTGAAGATTCCATGTTCTCATCTTAAAATAGTATTTTACATTTAGGTACCACTTGACTCCGTGTTATCACAAGCATTATCTGTGGTTCTCCACATAAAACCTCTCTGCAGACCCTACTAAAATGATGTGATGAAAAGATCACAAATGTTGGCTTGAGAGAAAAGTTCCCTTGGCTCTACCTCTAATCAGCTCTGTGACCTAAGGCTCAATGTCAATGACTTTTGCTGTAAAATGCAGAGTATAGATTAGATAATCCCATGAAGTCCCTTTTCACTTTTAGGTTTTTAAGATTCCCCCTTCCTCTGAATTTCAAAGGCAATAAATGATTCTACCGAGAAATCAGTGGCAGGATCAGGTTTTGGGTCTAAGGATTCCCAATTACCAGTCTAGTAACTTTTTACTCAATGACTGATTTTTTGACCCCACAATCAGCCATGTAACTACACTTCTCTTTTAAATTAAGGAATAAATGTGGGCTTTGTTCTTTTCTTGAGCTGTCAGAGAATAGATACTTTCTAATATACATGTGGGGACTGGAGGCTTTTTAGAGAGCCTTAAAAGGACCCTGTGAAATTTAAATTAAAAAAAAAAAAAAAGTACCAGATATGTTTTGGAGTGCCTTGTTTCATCTACAGATTCCCCTGCCTTGTAACCTGTCTGGATGCTGACAGAGAGGTATGCCCCAGTCAGCTGGGGCTGCTGTAACAGAACACCATACACTGGGTGACTGAAAGAGCAGACATTTATTTTCATAGTCCTGGAGGCTGGGGAGTCTGAGATCAAAGGCTGGTGTGGTTGGGTTCTGGGAAGTACTCTCTTCTTGACTTGCATTTGACTGACTTCTCACTTTATCTTCACATGGGAGAAACAGAGAGCACTCAGGTCTCTCATCTTGTAAGAATATTAATGTCATCATGGGGGCTTCACCCTCATGACTTCATCTCAAACCAACTTCCTCCCAGAGACCCCATTTCCTGCTACCAGGAAGTTAGGGCTTCAGCATATGAATGGGGGCACGGAGGAGGGCCCTAACACTTAGTCCATAGCAAGGTAGAACTTGATGTGTTGCCGCACATCTCCTTCCTATCCTGCCTTCCAGCCCCAGCAGATTGGACCACAGGAGTGATAGGAGGAAGAGATGGACATTGGTCTATGGTGAGTGATGGATTGGACATGTCTTGGAATCAGGTGGCCGATGCCAGTGCCAGGAAGCCACACCATGTGACAGCCACGGCTATTAGGGAAACAAGAACTATGAGTAAGCAGAGGAAACTGCTCTTCAGATAAGAGAGAAGGTCTTGGGAGTTGGAGAACAGCAAGCAAACAAGTTCTAGGAAGAAATGCCTGCAGATATTTTCCCAATTACTGTGAGCCAGCTAGCTCCTGCAGTGTTCCCCTTCCCCAGCTGAGCTCACCTGAGTACATTTCTGATTCTACAGCTCAAGTATTTAACAAGAAAAAAGTACTTTAAAAATTTCAATGTTGCCAAAACCATTGCTAGCATCTATATATCTATATATCTATATATATATAGATAGATATATAGACGCTGTTCTAGAGGAGAAACAACCGATTTCCTTCCTACATGGCAGAGAGCCTATCTAATTCATTCTGCCACCTACAGTCAGTAAGGTGCACACAAATGTTACTTTCTTTTCTTGATTTTGGGCAAGTTTCACATCTCAGATGTTTAAAAAAATATACATTTCTTACACACCTTTTATGACTGGTTAAAACCAAATGAGAAAGTGTATGAAAGAGCTTTGAAAATTAAAAACCTATCAAGGAAGGCATCATTATTGCATAAACTGAGTTCATGGGATTACAGAAGGGGTAGCAAAGAGTGATACCCTGTGAATCCTTAAGGGAAAAAAAGTCATTGAAACATATTAGTACCAAAACCTGCATTCTCAGTTGAGGATGTCAAGGCTCAAGTGGATGACTTATGCAAAATCATGTCACCAATGAGTGGTATAGCCAGAAGCAGCCCTTCTGCAACTGAGTGCCAATCCAGGCACCACACCATTCTCCTCAAAAGCCCATCCAGTTTCCTCTCCCCGAGTCCTGCCTAGGTTAAATCCAAAAGCAAGCCACAAACAAAAAATCAGCTCTCTGATGCTCTAAAGAAATTCATCCAAAAAATCATCAAGTAATTTTTGAACATCTATTTTATGTCAGCAGCTCTTCACTAAGGACCTGAGGCCAAAAATAAAAAAGTAGGCGAAGAAATCAGAATGGTATAAATGTCAAGGGCAGTGTTGATTGAATGGCTAAGTCACAGCAAGTAAGATGCAGGCTGTGGCAGACGTGTGCAAAAGGGAGGGCTGTCCCAGCATCTTTTTAGGCTGCAATATCAAGTGAATATAACTATACAGGGCCTCAATCTGGAGCCCTACTCATACTATAAGACTAAGTCAGAAAGGCAGCAGCCAGCAAAACACAAGAGGAGGGACTCCAGCCAGTGTAGGTGGAAGAAATTCAGAGCTTTGTGACCCATGAGCAGTCCTACCTGCACCAGGACCTCTCTGGTTTTGTTTTTTCGTTTGTTTGTTTCTTTTTTTTTTTTTTAAGATTTATTTATTTGAAAGGCAGAGTTACAGAGAGGCAGAGAGAGAGGTCTTCCATCTGCTGGTTCACTCCCCAGATGGCTGCAATGGCCGGAACTGCACCGATCAGAAGCCTGGAGTTTCTTCCTGGTCTCCCAAAAGGGGGCAGGGGCCCAAGGACTTGGGTCACTTCTACTGCTTTCCCACAACATAGCAGAGAGCTGGGTCAGAAGTAGAGCAGCTGGGACTTGAACCAGCCCTCATATGGGATGTCAGCCCTGTAGGCGGTGGCCTTACCCTCCACGTCACAGGGCCGGTCCTGCACCTCTGTGTTTACCAGTACCTTGATTCTCTGCCTGGTTGTTTACAAGACGGTGTCCATGTCATCCTTCTGGTCTCAAACATCACCTTGTCCTAACAGGTTTCCTCACTCTTCTGTCTAATGTAAGCGTCCATCCTATTATTCTCTGCCACAACATCAGCTTGATGTCATTAGTGGCACTTTTCCCACATACAATCTTTGTGGTGATGCATTTCCTTTTATGTGACCTATCTGC